ATTTATATAATTTTGCCGTATCATCTTTAGATTGGTAGCTGTAGGTTGCTTAAGATTCGTGATGTCTACCTCATTCGTAATAACAGCGAGTACAAGAGATTGAAATGGGCTCTCTGAACGCAACCATAGACATATGTGGCTAAATAGAGATTTAGCTGAACGATCTGAATATCTCTGAAACCGAACCGCTACTTCCCTTCAACAGAAGGTTGCAATTACGGTCATGTCTTGCAGCCGACACTAGAACGAATTATTTAACAGCTATGCGTGGCCCAGCCGACAGGAAAATGAACTGAGAACAGTCACAAATGACTTGCAACAAGTATACCATGAATTTTTGTCTAGATTTGGGACCATCACTGCAGGCGCTAAGACCTTTGCGAAAGTCAGTGATACATTAGCGAAACCACCTGACGATGTTAACTCGCGACCGGAAAGGAAAGTGGAATCCAAAAATGACAAAAATCATAAACAAAAATAACAATAACACACAATACTGAAATCTCACCTTCTAAAGTCACCAACGCTCTCAGATTGCGTTGCTATGACCAGGCGCTGCGACTCGTCTAAGAATCTCAATTGTATCGTCAGTGTTGCATCACTATCGTTGGCTGGTTTTACGACAGTTTCGGAGTGATTCGTCTGAGTAACGGTCGGGCTGTCGTTTGGCACTGTTCGCCGTTCGGCACCATCGAGTCCCGGCACTCCCTCGGAGCCATTCGCATTACTTTCGTTTAACAATAAAGCGTCCGCCGTAACAGTGTCTGAGTCTCTTTCTTGAGAGTCATCGACAGGAGATGGAAGCGCCGGATTAGGCGATGTTTCTGACGATGCAATAGAACCGATAGTCGGACCATTTTCAACGCTGACGGCAGCAGTACGGGTTTCACTCGTGGCAGCTGGTGATGTCTGAACCGAGTAGACCTAAAACAGGATATGTACGCAATGCAAAAGCCATCAACGCATTCTGTGGTTATGCCGGTTTCAAAAATATCATTTCCATTTTTTGAGGGAGAACAGATTTTCATTAACTTCATCTTACTCAGTACAGGATCTTTCTCAAAGACCATCTACATTATAACAAAATAAACTATTAAGAAATGTTCGAATGTTCAAAGTATGCTAAGTAGCATGAAACTTATCCAAGACCCAATTTCCCAGCCTATTTCACCGCCCCTTATCCCTATTTGCAACGGAAAGGAGAAACTTTACCAGATCATGGATCCATGATATTTGAGCTCTGCAGCACGTCGCATCGTTGTATTCACCAAAGCCACATTGCACTTATTATGAACGACGTTTTAGGAACGGTACTACTTATACGCTCACGCATACAGTTCAATATATACGAGTACCCGAAAATGTCACCGCATTTGGTGGTGGCTGAGATACGGGTGATTCAACATACTTCGTCGTACCACCATATTGAAATATATGGTCGCATATAAACAGTAACAGCTCGTGACACATCAACACATCGTTCGTAACGAGTGCGAGGAGGCTCTGACGAATGAAACCACATGAGATGCACTTGGCACTGCAACTGCTCAAATATCATGGAGCCTGGGTCTAGTCAAATGACAGCCAAATGCAACAAGAAGCAAGGCAACAGTACAGTCCAGTGTGACGTGAAATCTGGTCGTGGCAGAGTTATGCGCACATGGTAACTATTATGCGTATATTATTAAATCGGAATAAAAGCAGCTAGAATATTTCCGTCGCCAGCAATGTACTGCAAAACCAGCTCAATCAAGCTGCAATGATACACAATGAATTGGTAGCCAAGTCCTTGATCTCAAAAGTAGAAAAAACGGTATAAGGAGTCGTAACTATATTCAAGAATCATAGTAGGGACAAAAACCGAGCAGAAATTAATGAATACACTCAAAAAAGTGGTCATCCAGGTATAAGAAAAAATGTATCTTTGTAACTTTTTGAATGTTAATAATTATATATTTCTCTGTGGCACATGTGGTGTCCTTTTCCCATGAAAATTTTAGTTTGGTTTGATGCCATCAACCAGCAATGCTCCATATTTTTGAAGGCAAAATGTACAGTTAGATGGTTACTAGACGAAAGGCTAATTAGTTAAGCTGATACACTGGAGAGTCCGGATCATCCCCCAAGCAACAATATTTCATGCTACTGTTAGAATATCTGACCTATAAAATCTCTTCTTCCTTGTGACAGGGTGCGACAAAATAATGGATTATTGGGTAGTATGAAATACGAAAGGTTTGTTATTCTGAGCCGGTAAGGTAGAGGTGAAAGCCTGTCACGAACTTCAAACGGTTGGCCAAAAAGGTTCTGATGGACTATTATAAAGCCCTGACTGATGGTCATGGCTATTTTTTGGTTGAGATCCGGCTATCACTGGTCAATCGGTTGGCAAACAAGTTTTCTTCCATGGAAACCAACGGCACCCTTGATTCACAAGCAGACATTTGTTCATATTGGAATAAAGTGGTTGCTCTGCCTCTCTCAACGTCTTGGCTGATTCAAGAAGATAGAGCATCAGTGGACCACTAAGCGGCAGAAATTTATCTGGCGTCGGTGCAACTGAACCCGTAGACTACGTACATATGATCATTTTAGATCAATCTTGTGAAAAATCGATGCCCGGACTTTCCGATGACTTTCCCACCTACAGAAATTTAGAGCTCCCAAACACTGAGCGGTCTCCGTGATCCAGAAGTTATCGAACCTGCAATATTCTTAAATTGTGGAATTGATTCGTTTTAGGGACTTTATATAAGAATTTCCAGTGTCCATGTGCCGACGTCCCTGTTTTATTTTCTGTTGTTTTTAAATTACTGCAGAAAAGAGGCAATATTTGTGTTGGAGCTTAAATAACAAACTGCTACTAAGTCATCGAAGCAGCATCGAATCAATTATCCCTCGTCTGCGCTGTAATGGTCAGTTAGTCAGATGATCTACAGAAGCAACGCAAGTCTGAAGAG